AAACTCGAGCAAGATTTATGTCTATACTTCAAATGCTGATTGTATTCTATGAGTAGGTAATGGTCTAAAAGGCATCAGCACAATCTAGCATAAATTCTGCTAACTGGCTAGAAAGAGGTTGGAGATGCCGGGGGAGAGAACATTATAATCCAGTGACTGCAGCAAACTCTTAGCCATCAGAGGTTAAGAAGTCTGATTTCACCTTGTGGGGGACTGAGCTGCAGAGAATAAAAATTTGATGCTGTGCTTTTTTGAGAAAATGATTGTGCAAACCTCCTTTATACCACCTCTTCCTTTCCCTCACTGACTGTGTCTTTCATGCCATGAAATAAAATTAATGTACTGTGGAGAAATGCTTGCAGACTGAAAGAAGGGATAGTTCATGTCTTCATAATACAGAGAATAAGAGAAAATGAATAAAATAACTGCCTGTGATTGCCCGACTGCAGAAGGAACTGAGTTGGCTCCTTGGCATGGCAGTTTTCTGGTGATGCCCATTAGCTGTGACCTGAGAAGCCTTGTCTCATCATCATTTGTGGCATTTGAAGGGTCAAGTTTTGTGAGTCATACATTGACACTAACTTATGCTAAGGAAGCAGTAGGAAAATATCTCTGTCCAAGGCTGGAGAGCCTGTGGTGTTTCAGGATGAGGGACACCTATCCTTAATGCACAGGGGGTAGCCTGCTGCAGCTTCTCCTCCTGACACTGTTTTCCCTGATAAGAAAAAGGGTGCAAGGGAGAAACACAAGAAGGCTACAAATATCCAGGATATCCAGATCTCCGGTGGGCTCTGTGAATGAGGCAGTGTGATTGTACCTGGAATTGGAAGTTACCAAACTTGGTAACTATTACCATGAGTTAGAAATATATTAGAGTTGATATATATAAACCACTATCCATGGGTCATACAGCTTGGAACCTGGGTACATAAAGCAGCCCTCCGCACGCACACACATACACATGCGCACGCATACACACACAAACATGATGAAGCTCATCTTCGGAGGCCCTTCTTCTGGTGTTCCAATGTCTCAGAGGAGGGACAAGAGAAGAGAAAGAGAGGTCTTCTCACAAGGCATGCCCCATCCATGAAATATTCTCCCCAGAAATGCCCACCTTGGTGTTATTTTTGGTGCAGGAAGAAGCCTTTTAAAAATCCTCAGGCTTTTAAACTCTCAATGATATTAATTTTTGGCTATCATTCCTTAGCCTGTTTATAATATTGTGGGTGAGTTGCTCTGATTTACTGATCCCTTTAAGTACTCTGTTCAGTGATTCACGTATCAAAGTACACTGTGTACTGGTGTGTCCAGAAATTTCATTGGCTTTTGCACCTGTGATAGTCTGATCTGCCTACATCGCTGATTTGTTTTGTTTGTACCAATGTGACCATTAAGGTACAAAGATGCCCTTCAGCCTATAAGAATTCAGTCCCCCTCTCCAGATGCCCTACCTGTCTGAAAACTGCTTTGGAGCATTGTACCATGTGTTGGGTCATCAGCACAGATTGCAAATTCTTCTGCTGTACTGTCCACACCATAATGCATCATTCTCTCTACCTGAGCTGACAGAGGTGGTCTTAGATGGGATGCTGGAATTGCCCCAGGCTGTTGGTTCTGCGGTATGTCAGCATTCACCCTGAGGGTTTATACTGTCTGGGGCAGCTCAGGATTTCATGACTTGCACGACAACCAAGGGACTGTCCCAGCATGTCATCAGCCTGACACTTGTAGCACTGCATACTGTAGACTTCATCTTTCCAGCCAAATACGAAGATGGTACTGTTAATGTGGGCAACTTTGACTCAACTGTGTCATGATCAGATCACTGTCTGCTGAGATTTAGACTGATGGCACTTTTCCCCACTGCAAGGGTGGGGAACCTATGAAGTTGGGCCACCACCACAGGCTAGTGCATCTGGATTGTTTCCCGAGAGCTCTGGAGGGTTGGTTCCAAACGATATGCCTGGCCCTCCTGTTGAAGTCCTGGTTCATTTGTGGAACACAGAAATTACCACGGTAGCTGACATGATTGCTCCTAAGTACCCTTTCTAAGTAGAGCTCATACACTTCCATGGTGTACTCTGGAGCTAGGAGTGATGAAACATATGAGACAACTTGAGTGTAAAACTCCCCATGGATGAAATTGAAACCTGGTGTGTGCCCACAATCAGGTATATTTAGAAGCAGTGAGGGCAGCAAAGAAACGACATCTCACTGTTTTTATTCAGTCTTCCATTTGCCACACAGCAAGGCTTTCAGAGTTGTCTGGGGTCTATTATATGCTGTCCCCAAGGACCTTTTAAAACCATCTGAGGCTCACTCTAATTTGTACTGTATTTATTGTTTTGTTTTCATGGATTCTTGTAAACCATTCAGAGAGCTTTGGCTATGGGAAGCTTTGAAATGAAATAATTATTCTGAGATCATGGTATTGCCTCTTTGTCCTACTAGCACCCAAATTTTCAACCACCAGTTCCACAAATCTTTTATCCTTGTCCTTCCCCAGCTTGTTCTTTGCTGTGACTTTCAATGACCTTGCTATTTCTTTTAGCTTGACTTAATGACCTAAGTGCTACGAAGCTTCATGATATGCCTTCTGATCTATACTATTGCCCCATGATTAATTGACTGATTAATGTGTTATTAGTAAACTATGTGTACTCATATAAGGTTTTACATTTTTATGTACCAGGCAGCAAGTAAAGACAGTATCTATCCACCCAAATTTTAATATTTATTTATCTATTGGTTTCCACACTGTCCACTTGCTAAAGATCTGTGTTTTCATCAGTAATCCCTCTTTTCAAAACCTGTTTTAGAGTTTATGTCCAGAGTTTAATCATACCCTTTGTATTGCACAGTGCCTCACTGAGAGGAAGGGCAGTTCCAAAATAATCCTTATCATATTCATCTTCCTCATCAGTAAATGCTTCTGTGATGGGCAAAGGCAGATTGACAGGCAAAAGTGGCAGCAGCAAAGGAGAGCAGCTCAGGAGAACAGCAGTGGCTCCCTGCATGGGCATAAGCCTCGGAAGTACCTAACAAGGAGTCCCTGGATGCTGTTGATGGGTCTGAGCATCCTCAGTAGCTTCAGAATGTTGACAGTCAGCTGGAAAAGAAAAACAGAAAATCTGGGGTGTTGTAGCAATGGCAGAAGAAAAGGGAAAGAAGCCCTGACTGTGTGAATATTAGCATAGAGCATCCTGGAGAGGGGATGCCTGGCTAGCTAGCAGCCAGAAAAACAGCTCTAAAGACACATCCTCATGACCTTTCCACATTTTTGGCAGAATGTTCCCCAAAATTGCCCCTCCTTTTTTCCCTTTTCCTTGGGAAATTACGGTCGCAATGTAACGATGGTGTGATTATGCAAATGCTCTTAATGCACAAAATGCGACCCTTATTGACAAAGCAGCACCCCACCCGCAGTGCACCAGTGAAAATGCTGCTTTGTCAATGCAATGGACTAAAATATGCAAGCAACAATGTTGCTGTCAAGTAACCATGAAGTAAGAAAGATTAAATACCCCATTCTAATGTGGAGATTTTATTTTGCCAAGTTTGGACCATTTTCTATAGTTAGATTTTCTCTGTCCTGTTATTAGGCAGACATTCCATTTCTGGATGCCACTTGCCATTTTCTCGCTATCCCTGAGTTTACCACCCAGTGTGACAGATTGTTGGCATTAACCTTTATTGAACTGAAATCTGTTTACTAAAATCCTCTCTCAGCCTTAAATGAGATGCCTAAATAGAAATGACAACCCCTAAGAGAATCTGTGGATACGATGCAAAAAGCACAACACATTTGCTTCCAGTACCAGGAGAATAATTTCCACTGTAGGTGGATTTCTTGCTTTGGAATAACCACCCAACAATTAATCACTTCCCCTTCGCTGGTTTGGTGGGGAGGGGGAAAGCAGATGTGAAGAGAAAACTAATAACCAGTAAGCTTCAGAAGTGTTAATACAACGTAGCAAGCACAAAGATTGTATCAGTCGGTGACATAATTGAGTCCTAAAAAGAATCAGAAGGCAGCAAAAGAGATATAGATGAGAGTTCAGTTTCAAAGTCAAACACAGAAGGAGCCATACCTGCTCTCCAGGGTCAGGCAGCCGGCTTGAGGCAGCACCATGAGCAGAAAAAGTAGCAGCAAGGAATCTGGGCCTGAATGTGCAACCGCTCTCTGTTCTAGAGGCTCTGCTTCGGGCTGCAACAGGCCTTGGGAAGGCTCTGAATTTAGAGTACAGAATCAGACATGTTTGTAACGATGAATTTGTAGGCTGGGACCTCTAGCCATGTAGTATTGAAAATGATTCTGGACTATTTAGACTGTTGCTGTGTGGCTCAGCTGGATGTACCAGATAAAGTTAATATGGTGCTCCACTTATTTATTTAAAGTTTTAAATGCCATCTCAGTACTAAAAGTTTCTGGACAGCTTACAAAAAACAAAGCAACCATAACTACAACACACGACACACTGCACTCCATAATATTCCGTTGTTTCCTCTTGAACTCCAAGAAGTGCAGTCCTAATTTGCACTTTATATGTAGCTGCCAAATGCCAAATACCAAAGTGTTACATTGTCCTTTGTGGCAACAGTTATAATTGCAGAAGGCTGTTTGTGTGTGTGGACCTCCCTGTTCTAAAAGTTTCAACATCAAAAAGGACAAGTTCACATGGAGACATGACAAGGTTTGTCTGATTTGCCCAGTGAGCCTTCACCATATGTTTATGATAACTAATTATATTTCCTTCGCATTGTGTGAGCTCAGTAAGTCATCCAACTATAATGAGCAGTTATGTCAGTTTTACTTTCCCAGACTACATCTGACAAGTTTCATGCATACAGGTAGTTATATCTTGTGGGAAATGCAAAATGCCTCCATCCCTTTCCTAGGGGGAGGCAAAAATCTAGAGGTTACTTGATGTTGATACAGAATACTGCTGTGTAGGATTCCTTTTGCTTAATGTCTGTTTGCTTTCCTTTCCCTGTAGAATCGGATATTGCTGACTTTGACGGGAGGAGCTCCCTCCTCTACAGGTTCAACCAAAAATTAATGAGTACCTTCAAAGATGTGGTTTCCCTGAAGTTCAAGAGCATGCAGAAAGATGGGGTCCTGTTTCATGGAGAAGGGCAGCATGGGGATTACATTACACTGGAGCTGCAGAATGGGAAGCTTTCTTTGCACATCAACCTGGGTATGTTCAAAGATCTCAGCATATTTGCAACATGGTGGTGGTGGTGGTCGTGATTGTTGTTGTTTCCTTCAGTCTGTAGTTATTAAAGGCAAGCTGGCCAGAAAGTTTTGGGAAAAGAGAGAAATGTAGTGTCGTGGCTAAATGTATTATGTTTCATTATTGCTCAATTGTATTTCTAGTTCACTTTCCCTCCTAATACAGTTTGGAAATCTGATGGAGTTTGTCTCCAGGCCTGTTTGTGTGCAGATGACATGTTTATTTACTAATGTGTTTTTGTAGGAAACATACCAGCTGATTCTGTCACTCACTGTGTTGATCTGAATCCAGCATGTTTGTTCTATGAGCTTTACATATGCAGACAGTCTGCATGATCTATGTATAGCACATTTTTAAAGGTTTGGTAATAAAGGATCCTGGCTAACAAAGTAATAAAGATTTTAGGTGTGCTGCTTTCCAGCTGTATTTTGAAATCTGGTTATTTATTTATTTATTTATTTATTAAAACATTTTTATGCCGCCCCA